GAGCAGCGCAACGTGTGGAAACGCACTGCCTACGCAGCTCATCATAGCTCTGGCAGAGCTTAATCACCTAGGCGACCGTATGGGTACTCTTCGCAGCAATAATTTGAAATGCAACGTCGTCGAGTCGTTCCTGATGCTTTTGATCTTGCCTGTCTCATCTAGAGTCAAGTGGACGAGCTTGCAGAGGAAGAGCACCACTTCAATAAAGCTCCTGAAAGTCTCACCTGTTCTCTGTACTCTGCCACGCAAGCGCTGTTCAGCACGAAGGCAGTGGACAGCAGGACGGCCAAAGACTCCCCATAGAGATTTCGCCGATTCCGACCAGGAAGTGAAATCACTTTGATAATTTCTGCACCATAGTTTCGCCACGTCGGTCAGGTAGAAGTTCAAACTTGTGAGCTTATCGATTGCAATCCACTTATTGTACGTGCTCACCAGATCAAGCTCGGCAATCAAGTTGTCCACATCTTGGTGGTCTGTGCCACCAAATATGTGGTGGTGGGGCTGCCGCACAGCGCCAGCGCAGAAGACACGTACGGTTGCGGGATCTGGAGGGGCGCTCTGAGACGACCCCGGATCAATCAATGCAGAAGGTCGTTGGAATGTACGGCTGCGAAATTCCAGGGCTAGGACCAGATATGCCACACCCCTCCACCACTTGAAACGTGGTGTTGACAAGCTGGAGTTGCCTCGGTGAACGAGAGATTTATTTAGGGCTAACTGAATGCAAGCCTGCGAACACAGCGCGTCTTCTTCTGCTTGCCCCCTCCGTGTCGACTGCTCTCGTTACAGTGTGTAACAGCTCATCTTTCATGTAGGCAGGAAACGAAGCAGCATACACATAATAACCACTGCTAGTAGACTTCACCACGCAACGAAACCTTGTAACTAAGCGTTCCGGATGTCTTCCCTTATGAAACTGAGTACATCTGTTGCATCTTTCTCAATTTTCTAGGCCTAATTGTACTATATTATCAAAGTGCCCCATTTACAAGCCACATATTTGCGAGGCAACTATTGTGCTACCTCTCCGAATGCTGTCTAGAACCGTCGGTCAGCTCATTGGTTAATGATTAGAATATCTCGTGCTGCAACAGTGATGACAAGGTGGTCTTTCCGAAAAGCTCATGTTTCGTCACTGAGGTCCATAGAAATTATTGAGCTGCGTCACCAACAAAACTACATTCTTTAGGCACCATTCAATAGTCTTTGCCCATACGGGTGAATTTGAGGGAACACAGCGGAACGAACCCACCGCTAATCTGGACACGTGCGACGGAGGGCTTCTACTTCGAGGACAAAAACAAGTGTGATAGTTCTCTTACGAGCGGTACACTACAAGAACGACTCTAAGCTTTCCGGAAAACCGGCCGAGTGGTGGAGAACCTAGGTTCACCCATCGAGACGGGGGAGTTCTCTTCTACAAGTAGACTCATGGTCTGGTCTTCTTTTAAAGCTTTTCTGTTGGTTCATTTTAACCACAACCAACACCTCTGACGTGGTAATCAGTAATTACTGCTAGCTGTACAAACTAGAGGTAAATTGTGTCATTTATTTATTTACAATAACTATCGTATCAGACACATATATACTACGAACGTCCTTCAATGCTGTTCTGGTCAGCAAACTCTGCTTTTAGTTTCATAAAGGGACAGAAGCGGCCACTAGGGTAGCCGTGGTTAGCGCGGGGAAACTAAGGCATGCGTGCTGCTCTTAGCTTAATGTTGCAGCGGTTCAACGCAGTGATTTCTCTCCCACCTAACAGCTATATTTGAACTACCGCTCCTACACCACCTGACAAACAATGCGTTTGTTGTATACGCTGGTTAAAAACGTATTTAAAAACATACTTACCAGCGTAGCACCTTAAGACATAGGCTTCTCCGGCCTCGCAGTAGTTGTATAAACACCGCTATGGCGATGACGATTCTTCTCACTTGATGTACTCAGTTTGCTCACTAGGTGGTGCGGTGGTTCTCACTCCGATGTGTGCTCTAGTGTGATAGGAGACCGACAGAAGCTTCACTCTTTCTCCGACTGTCTTTGTGCTTCGCGCATGAGTGACGGAGCGACAATCCGAGGGCTTGAAAAGCGGCTGCTGGGCCTGCTCGCCGTCAAGATTCGGACGTGACAGCCCGAAAAGCGGAAGCTGCACGCAAGTGCCGACAAGAGGACCCTGAGCTCATAGCCCATGAAGCGGTAGTCAAACACGCACAAAGTGTTTGTCACGTTTTTACTTCACCATCGACTGAGCAAGATTTATTACGGAGGCTTCGCGGTTTACCGATATGCCTTTAAAGCTGTGCCTACTCATCATCAATCACTCCGTGTAGTTGCTGCGACTTTATAAACATGTCAAGCCCGCGATGAATGCAGTCGTGTTGAACGCAGTAACATTAGATGCATACATTGTTTCAGCGTTGTACCGTACCTGGAGTACGAGAATATTCATTCAGTAGAAAACGAGAATATTTAATCTAGTACACAATATCTACTTAAACTTTTAACACTTCATAAACATTCCAAACCCACAAAATGGCAAAATGAAGCCTCGCAGTAACAGTAGAGCCAGTACAGGTATCACTTATTACAAACGGAATATTGCCACGCGGTTGTGGGGCTGACGAAGGCGGCAGCCGGTGTCCAAGTTGAGAATGTTTATTTGGCCGAATTTGCGGGCGGTAAACGGAAAGTAAGATGACAGCAATGCACATTGGCATTGATAGCGGCGTACAGGGTGTCACCTGTTGATAATCTGACAAGTGGTAGAGCGCACCGAATTTTATAGTGTGCCTTCGAATATTCCAGTGTTATCGCTAGCGCCCGTGTATATTCTAGAAAAAACTATGATGTTTGTGTCATGCACCCAATCGCTTCGAAATGTTGTAAATTTATCTCGAAGCTTCTCTATCATTGGGCGTGGTTTCCGTACAGCAGCACTTTCACTGTAATGTGGCAATAGCAAAACTTCAGGAAGGAATGTGGCAATATTAGGGAGGCTGCATAATAAAAAAGCAGAGCTCTGCATTTCATTGTCTACAGTCTTGAAAAGCTAAATCTACTCCACGGCCACCTATCACACAGACCATTAACAACAGTTGAAAAAAATGCACCGCGTGCCCGCAAATTCACGCAGATCACTTCGGTCTTCAACGTTACCTTAACTCCGAGCTTACAACCACATCTGCTCATTTGACATGTGTAACGTAGAAAACTACATGTTACGTAGACAACACTGGTCGAGCGAAAATTTGACGCACTTTATATTGTGCGGCGTCGCAACGGCATTCAGACATGGCGGCAACTTCACAAATCACAACTAGCGTTTCTTCAACTGCTTAGATGTAATACGTTTTTAGCGCGTGATGCAATATTTCTCGATAAAGGCTGCTGACAGGGTAAACCTGATTAAATGAAAGGAAGCTATGTTCTGTTATTCTAGATAAAATAAGCATATTAGTTCACAAGCAGAGCTCAGTGGTGCTATCTAATTACTCCGAACGTGAAAATGGAGCATCAGGAAATATACTAAAAAACGTGCGAAGCTGAGGAAACATAACGACTATAGAGATTGTACTTTATAATTGCGTGTTTCACTGAATATATTTCAAAATTATACACCGCCGAGACACAAATTTATATTGAAGGAAGAAAAATGCTAGTTTTGAAAGAGGTGGTGCGAGAAAACACAGGAAAATTACCTCAGAAAAGAGAAAGCTACGACCGACACTTTTTTTGTTCATAGGGAAACTCTACTAGGTCACTACGTGAATTCAAAAGGCTACTCATAAAAAACGCAGTTTTGAAAAACTGGCTTGGTTAACATTTAGCCAACAGAAATGTTGAAGTAAAACAGGTTTGTTGACAACATTAAAGAAGGAACCAGTGCATAGCGTCTAATAAACAAGAAAAAAACCAACAAAAACAGCAATCTGCGAAGGAGAAAGAAACACTGCAAGCCAGAAAATATGCCTTCTTGCGTTGTTAAGACCCACGTTTCTTTGTTAGTGAGGCAATATTCTCATTCACGCACTCAAACGCATTTAAAATTGAGAGAAAAGCGCAGGTTTTTGTTGTGATATTTCGCTTATTCATTTATCCACCACATCGCCATCTCTAGACAATCTTAACGGCTCCTTCTCGCTCATACGTTTTTGGTCAGACAAAAAAAAAAGAAAAAAAAATTCCCAGTCCACAACATGTCTTTGGCATCTTTACTCACGTACCCCTTTTGTCTCAATGCACAAAATTCTCGCAGTAGCTAGTCGCACAAGTTTGGAAAAACGAAGAAAATTGACCACCGAATCAGCCAAATTCTTCAGGCCCTCCGCTCTGCCTGGACGCAGCGAAGCATTCCTCAATGCCCTCTGCACACTCCTAGCGCCGCCACGCGGTAAATGCGGTGACATAGCAAGCTGTACCCAGAGCATTACGAAGGAGTTTTGTGACCAGAAAAGCATAGAAGGACATTGATAATACTCACTAAATGAAAAAAAAGTATGTTTAGCACTGCATGAAGATTCCTTGGTGTACTCAGCAGGGAGTTTATTCGCACTGTCACTGCCCTCAATGGGCATTTAAAAAAGCACCACTGTTTCAGCCGCCTGAAAATGTTCAAAATGAGCACGTGGTTTTTATGCGATTGGTTTACTGTACGCCCGGCCGCGGCAGCCGCACTTTCGATGCCGGAGAGCGCGCTTGAGGCCCGTTTACTTTCATTTAGCTGCTCGTTAAGAAACCACTGGAGGACGACATTTCGGGAGCGCTCTACTGCGGCGTCCCTCATAATTCTAAAGTTTTTGTGACCGTTACTGCCAACAATTTAAATTGATTGCTATGCACATTTATGCGCAAACCAATAAGGCCGACGCAAGCATGCTTTAGAGTGGTAACTACGAACATTCACGATGAGGCGCTTTTGGCTCATTAGTAACGGCCAAATTGCACGCAGAAACAATCTAGGAAGTATTTCAATATATGAAGAACCTAAGGAACAGCTATCAGTTTTTTTTTCTTTTACTGATGCAGCTTCATCTCACTAGCGTTTCAGTAAAGTGCATCACTGCAGACGGGCAGGCAGCAGTGTGGAAAGGAGCTATCCTCTTCTTCACTTCGGCACCGGCGAGTCTGGAAGGTGATATTAGGCCGACACCTGAAAGAAAAAGTACGTGAAATGTTGCTATAAAAAAAGGAGTTTCGCACAAACGTTCACAAGGGTGCATGACAATGGTTTTCAGTCGATACGTATTCAGCAAATTATGCTCTAGAAATTGCCGCTCTCCTTATGAAGGAAGAATTTACGCGTGAACAAGGAAGCCAGGCTTTTCTTCATTGCACTCACGTGGTTTTACGGTTACTTTTGCAATAATATAAGGCACCACTAGGCAAAAGGAGAATCAAATGTTTGCGTGACACTATTTTGGCATGTTAGTTATTCCGCTGTACGCAATTCATTGCCCGCTTAGTAGGATACAAGGTATGAAATGCTCATGCAAGGCCTATTTTCGCAGTCAGCAGGGAATGGCTCATTGGCTCACAGAGTCCACAGCTAGCGGAAAATGGATGACTCCTCAAATAGTGAATGCCGGCAGTTCATGACTACACCAGGCAACCTTGTATTTTGTGTTTGTTCAAAAGCTCCTGATGGATGTTTACAGCAAGATTGAGTGGACGTTCAGTCAACTAACTCCTTTTTTCTAATAGGTCCTAAAAAATCTGCATTTTTTAGAGTTCCGAAATTATTTGTTTCATGGCTATTCTTCCACACACTCCTGTCACTTTTCAACATGATGCAAGGCCAGCATTTGTAACTTCTTTTCACTCCATTTTCGCCTCTCGTCGCAATTCTGATTGATGCGCAGGCATTGTCACCTTTGTGGTCAATGGTGACAAATGTTGTTGCTGTGGGTCGCATCGCTGAATTTATTGTTGTCTCATTTATGTGCTGCTTTAATGATGTGATGCACATTATTGCATTCTTACTTCATCCGCCAGTGTTTATCAAGGGCCCGTAAAACGACTACCTCAAGTGGATTGACAAGAAAAAAAAGAAACGTTGCGGCATCTGCCACTAAAGGGAACCAGGTGTGTATGCTAAGCAGTGGACGCTACTGGCGGCGGTGTTTACGCTGGCGCTTATCCCGTCGTTGCCCAAGAGAGAAACCTAGGGAGGTGCAAAACACGCCGTCATGGACCGGTGTTTCCTGCAGAAGCTAGAATGTGTTGGTGTTTAACGTCCCAAAACAACAATATGATTATGAGAGGTGCCGTGGTTGAGGGCAGCGGAAATTTCGACCAGCTGGGGTACTTTACCATGCACCTAAATCTAATCACTCGAGCTTCAAGCATTTTGGAATACACCGAAAATGCGGCCGCCACGGTCGGCGTTCGAACACGTCATAAGCGGATCAGCAGCCGATTGCCTCAGCCATTAGTCCACCGTGGCGGACGGTGTTTCTACGAACACATGCCGATCTCTGCTAATGGACAATGCGAGACAGAAGACACCGATTCGACGCATATACCTACAATTCAATTTTAATTAACGCGCACGCTGTGAATTTTTATTGTTCAATATCGCACAGAAGACATCTCCCACCAGAACAACACTGGAGGTTAACATCCAATGCCTCTATATACGGGGTGGCCAGTGAATGGTTATGCAGAGGGAGCATGCAGTCGGTCTATTCCACGGAGGAAGAAACGAGATGAGGAGGCATGCCTAGCCAGCACGCTGCGGTAAAAGTGTGAAGGAAATACCATCATGGTGGCCATTTGTACCAGATACAGTGGCGACATGGCTATGTTACATGTTGTGCAGTGTAGCTGGTCTAGCAGTGAGTGCTGGCTGCATAGTGATGGCATGTGCGCCTCCGTTTGTCTGTTGTTGATCCGTCACGGACGAGACACGTTCATCGAGCAGCATTGTTAGCGACGCAGTGTTTTCCGGGTTTTTGTTGTACTCCTAGCAATATTTACAGAACATTTTGTTAGCTTAAGGACTTCAACAGGGCGTAACAAGTGAGTATATCTATGTGCCGTGTAGCGCATGAAGTATTCGAAGTGTTCAAAGAATTTACTTTCGGGCACCATGACAAAACCCAACCACGGCGAATGCCATCAAGCGCAGCGAAGGCTCTGCAGTGTTGCTGATTCTGCGAACGAACGGTTGGTTGGTATGTGGGGTTTAACGTCCCAAAACCACTATATGATTATGAGAGACGCCGTAGTGGAGGGCTCCGGAAATTTAGACCACCTGGGGTTCTTTAACGTGCACCCACATCTGAGCACACGGGCCTACAACATTTCCGCCTCCATCGGAAATGCAGCCGCCGCAGCCGGGATTTGAACCCGCGACCTACGGGTCAGCAGCCGAGTACCTTAGCCACTAGACCACCGCGGCGGGGCCTGCGAACAAACGAAACATTTGTGCTGAGGACGTGACCAGCTTATATGTAGTTTCGTGCTTGATATGTGTACGTCTAATAAATTGCATGTGCGTATTAAGACACCTTTTCTGTTTCGCTCGCTGCACTCGCCCCTTCGGAATTGAGCAACTGCAATCGAGTCTGTTGCACTATGCACAAGCTTGTCACCCCAGTTGCGCAATTACGACGCTGGTGAGTTTTACGAAGAACATGGGCGCGTTGAGTGGGCACCAAGACGATCGCGTGAGCGACGAAATTCAACCGCTCATGTTACAACACAGGTTTGCACAGTGCATGAATGGTGAAGTCTGTAAAGCATTGGCAACACACTCGTCGTAGTCAGTGAATCTAGCATGCGTTCACTCGTGCTTGCTTCCTGGTCGGTGAGCTGTTACTGGCTGTTTAATACGAAGACAAAACGATTTGGCCAACAATATTGTGCTATCCCATCGTGTTAAGCCCCGTTCCGTTGGCTTCAGGTCGCCACGCACGTGCAGCCCACGTGTTTTTCGAGTAGCATAGGGAGTTGTGCCTCTTTCTTCACATTAGGCGCAAACGCGAAAGAAAAACTTGCCATGGGGTATTGCCGACTTCCGGCTTCATCACTTGTAGCAATGGATCTTATCTGTCTGCCATCGCCACTTATCACGACAAAGCTGATCGCACGCGGGCACAAGCAGTGCTCACTTTTCCCTCCTTCCTCCTGGCTATAAAAGCCAGATATTATGGCTTATAAAAGTTCCTTCTTATGCTTGCACTTGGCCCGTCTCATTCAGTGATCGGAGCACGCGCTGGGTGAGAACCTATGATGAAACACTACCTACTGCTTCACAACGAGTGAAGTTAGGGCCTCTGCATAGTTGTTGCCTTTCTCCTTGATTTTATTGCGATAGCATTTATATGGACACTCTTGGCTATATTTTGCCACCGGCGTCGGCGTGGGCGTTGATGTCATGGACCATATGTATACCTACCTATATATATGAAAACGCAAGAAAGAAAAAAATTCAGAAAAAAAGCACTTCGGCGCGCGCGATCGAACGTGGGACCTCTGCGTCGTGAAACCGAGGCGTTAATTACTGAGAAACCCCGAATTTTTTTCTTTTAATTTATTGCATTCTTTACTACAGGTCAAATTAATCTAACAATCACACATCACACGTGTTTAGTGTGTGTTAACGCATCAAACAAAGATACTACATCTTCAACACAGTCGGTAGTCTTATACACAACTCGCAGTTTGATAACAGCTTCCGCGAAACTATCATGAACAGATAGAACTGTTACGTCACAGTGTCTGTACGATAGCATGCTGCGCCAAACTGAATGAAGACCAAGTAGGAAAATAACGTCTAAATGTTGCACAGAACTATCACAAGGCAAAAAAAAAACGTAATCCTCGTGGAGTAAGAGGTAAATCTTTTTTTTAAAGTCATCTGTATAGTGTCCCAAAAGAAAATGGCATTCTCACAATCAATAAATACATGTTGAATAGTCTCAGGTTTGTTACACAGGAGACAGCGGCTTCCCCATAGGACATGCATCCCTCTCTCTTCAAGTCACCTTAACACTGGCAAGGTTCTCGTATGAAGTATGAAAAAGAAAGTTTTAACATTGGGTGGTGCCCACGCGTTTTTCACTCGCTTTATTACGCCTTGTCTATATGATTTTTTATGCTTTGAACGGTAAAGTGCTACAGAAAAAACATTCTGTATTACGTTTTTCATAGGGCGCTTTCTTTTCACTTTAGTTAGGTAATCTATCGAAAACCTTGCCCTTAAGAAACGATATGAGAACACAACTTTGCACAAGAACGGTGACCAGGTGTGTCGTTCACTCCTGTTTGAAGATACAAAGAAATCAAGCATGTGGTGTAATAGCGTTGTTTGAAAAAAAGAACATAAAAATGCGTCTCTCTGGTCTCTTACTAGCATGAAACGTGATATTACTTGGTTACGAAACAGGTGGCACAAAGACAGCCCTCCTTGCTTAACACGCCGAAACAAGTTTGTTCTAGATGTTCGCACCCATGTAGAGCTCCAGATGAACGTGGCGAATATTCTGTGAATTTTAAGAATGCTTTTACACGTAAAACTAAGTGCTTGAAAAAGGTACATTATTTTAGCAGCGACAAACACGTTACATACAGCTGACGGAGAGAAAATGGATTAGTCACGACCACCCCATCCTTCTGCTATCGCGTGCAGTTCCTCAGCCTTTTCAAGCCAAAACGCTTCACTGTCTTGATACCTGTCCAATGGTACCCCTAGGTAACGACTAGGTGTCGTAAGCCACTGAATATTTCCAAAGGAACTGACGTGACGGCTGTATTGTAGGAGTACCTATGTAATTCTCATAAAATTGAGTAGCCAGCACTGCCAACACAACTCACGTTTCATTAAAATGGAGGTCAATTTGAAAAGTAGTTCCGAGACATGGTGTGGCTCTGCTTTAGAATAATTTATTGCCATGCAGAATTATGTGGTGTCATACCTGCTCAGACACTGGCGTTTTCCGCTTCTGCGTTCGTCAGCTCACGGCAGTTTCAGTAATTTCTCCTTGATACTCACGCGCTAAAATTTTCCATGTGTGTTCTGGCCATTGCTGGATAGATAGGAATCATCAATCACCTGGTCACATACCCACCCCTTAATATATTCAAACATTTGACGGAAAGGGTATTACAACGTTCGCGATAAGAATATGACATTATTGTCATCATGACCAGCGAGTCATATTCGTCAGACAATCTTACCCTGCCATACCGCTATAGTGTACCCCAAGTTAAAGGGGTGACTATGAGAGCACCCAGGCGAAGGCGGATAGATAGATAGATAGATAGATAGATAGATAGATAGATAGATAGATAGATAGATAGATAGATAGATAGATAGATAGATAGATAGATAGATAGATAGATAGACAGACAGACAGACAGACAGACAGACAGACAGACAGACAGACAGACAGACAGACAGACAGATAGATAGATAGATAGATAGATAGATAGATAGATAGATAGATAGATAGATAGATAGATAGATAGATAGATAGATAGATAGATAGATAGATAGATAGATAGATAGATAGATAGATAGATAGATAGGCAGACAGACAGACAGACAGGACAGACAGACAGACAGACAGACAGACAGACAGACAGACAGACAGACAGACATAGATAGACAGATAGATAGATAGATAGATAGATAGATAGATAGATAGATAGATAGATAGATAGATAGATAGATAGATAGATAGATAGATAGATAGATAGATAGATAGATAGATAGATAGATAGATAGATAGATAGATAGATAGATAGATAGATAGATAGGCAGACAGACAGACAGACAGACAGGCAGACAGACAGACAGACAGACAGACAGACAGACAGACAGACAGACAGACAGACAGACAGACAGACAGACAGACAGATAGATAGATAGATAGATAGATAGATAGATAGATAGATAGATAGATAGATAGATAGATAGATAGATAGATAGATAGATAGATAGATAGATAGATAGATAGATAGATAGATAGATAGATAGATAGATAGATAGATAGATAGATAGATAGATAGATAGATAGATAGATATGCGAAAGGTGACGGCTACTTCGTCTGTGGACCATCAGCGCCTCCCCTGCTACACGCATGTACTCCGCGTGTAGCGCATGCACCGCACATGCGATGCCGAAGAAATGCTGTAGCACATCATTTGCTGCTGCCCTGCTCCAACCGGCGAACTATACCAGATGGTGCGCCGCTGCCGCCTGATCACTCTCCCTGCGACAAATGTGGCAGATTTCTCCTTCTCCTACCAGATACGAGCCCTGCGAGCCTTTATTGAGTTTTCGGCTCCTGCGAATCTACACGCCCTATAAACGGACACCTTGGCTTCATTTTTTCTGCCTGTTCTGACCAGATAGCGTTTTGTCATGTACTCACATTTCTGTTTATAATCTCTCTTTATTTGTGCCAATTTAACATCTCCTTCGCGATCCCTGAAGGCGCTGAGCCATACCATCACGAAAGGAGGCAGAAAAATAGCGTCCTTTGGTTTTCTTCTTTCTGGAATAACTCACTCTCCACTAGCAACCACGCAGTAGAATAGTAAATGAATTATTAATCTGAATAGTTGTAATGACGGTTCCCTAATATTAACTGTGGTGGCAGTGCCTCTTCAAGGTATACATTAGTTTCAGTGCTGGCTACCACTTCTGCATTGACACCATAAATATTACACATGTATTTATAATATTTTGTTGAGGTTTGCAAGAAAACATTCACGAAGCATGAGCATTTATTGGTAGCTAACAATTTTTTATGTATATCAAAGAAATAAATGAATAAATAAGAAATAACGAACAGAAATAAATGCTTTAGAAAGAGGAGTGGCTTCTGTCTAGAAAACGTTGTTAAAAACTTCACTTTGGGCATAATATACAAGGACAGGAAATGTCTGCAAAGGGGTATGATCGTCCACCCTGCAGCTCATGTGGAAATGACCACCCCGAACGGCCAACTGTTCCGACTAGAACATCATACAGTCTCTTTTGCGTACCAGTTCGCAGAATGCGTGGTTTTGCTTATTTCTTATTTATTCGTTTTTTTCGGCGCTGAACATCAATAAACAGGGTAGAAAAGTATGATTTAATTTTTTCGAATCTTTTACTGCAAACCTAATTAAACTTGGATAACTTCTAACAATGCTACAACACCATAGAATACGTCAGTTCTAGAAGAATCGCGCTATATGGCTCTATGAATTCTATGTAGACAGGCGTCGTTCGTAACCCCATAAATACAACAACGACCACTGCTTACGATATTAACAGAATCGTGCCAAAGCACCCTCCTTATTTTGACGGAACGAATGCCTATGTTCGAGCGTAGTAGTTGGCGTCACGTTGAAACCCAAGAGGAGCTAGTGCTGTATCCGGGCTCAGCGAGGCCACAATACACACGCGACTGCTTTATTCAGACAAGGACATCGATCGATCTTGTGGTTCATTGCTGAAAGCCAATAAATACTACCTAACTTTCTCACGTGACACATTCTGAGCAATGCTTGGCCGCTGCCACGATTTTCCTCCCCCGTCTAGTGGATAAAGTACTCGGCTGCTGACCGGCAGGTTGCGGAATCGAATCCCGGCTGCGGCAGCTGCATTTCTGATGGAGGCGGAAATGATGTAGGCCCGTGTGCTCAGATTTGGGTGCATGCTATAGAACCCCAGGTGGTCGAAATTTTTGGAGCACTCCACTACGGCGTCTCTCGTAATCTTATGGTGGTTTTCGGACGTTAAACCCTAAATATCAATCAATCAACGATTTACCTCCCTTCCGTGTTTGCACATTTAATATGAACAATTGAAATGCTAGTGAGCTCAAGCCTACTGTGTTGTGATGATAGTGACCATCAGTGGTAATTTAAGGGTTCGACTAGAAATAACGTGTTCGTCGGTCGGTGAATGTAGATAAGACTATTTATGCTTAAATACACTTTTGCCTCTAGACAATTTTTTCCGATCTTTTGGTGCAGGTGATATACAGGGTGTTTCAAGAAGTCTGTTCAATATTTTTTATTACAAAAAGAGGTATCTTCGTGCCACTTGCGATTTGCCTTCCTGTGGCAGCAAACATCTTCAGATGGGTACAAACAACAACTACGGTAGTAATTATAAAAAATTACAATAACCAACTATTTAACCAGTGGTAATGGTCGGGTGAGTCAAAAGGGCGAATTCATGTTCTTCCTACGAATATTCCACAGCCACGTTAAGGTTTTGAAGGAGCGGCCACTGTTAATAACCGCGGAGTATTGCAATATGGCTAATTTAGCTGGTGAAACCGAAACCCACGCGACAAACAGCGCATCTACCATTCACTTCATTAGGGTCGTCATTCACTCAATGGCGATCTTGTTTTTCGCATTGGGGAAGAAGAATAAGTGAGCGTCAATAAATCACCCTTGAAATGAAGTGTATAAATTGACGGCTGTTAACAGCGAGAAAAACAGTCTCGTCCCAGATGGCGTTGTTGAAGTGAATGGTAGATGCGCTGTTTGGTTCGTTGGTTTTTGTTTCGCCAGCTAAATTGGCTAGACTACATTGCTCTGTGGTGATTAACAGCGGCCGCTTTTCAAAAATTTAAAGTGGTTAAGCATTATTTGTAGGAAGGGTTTGAATTCACCCATGTTACTTGACCGGCTCTCACCCACGGTTAAAAAGTTGATTGCAGTAATTTCTCTATTTGCTGCATTTATTATAGTTTGTACGCATCTGAAAATGCCTTCTGCCACAGGAAAGGCAACGCCACAAGTAGCACGCACATACTTTATCTCTGAGACTATTGAAAAATATTGGACACTTTTTTTTAAACAACCCGTATGTGATAGATTGAGGGGTGATAACAAAAGGTGAGCACGTTGGAAAAGCAAATTTCTTTGTCGCTCCAGAGGCACAACTACTGCTTTAGAGCGTAAAAATTATCTCTGGTCAGTAATAACATTTCTTCTTGCACACATGTCTAGCTACCTGAAGTGATGTACTAGCACTTCGCCGCCACTTGAGTACTTGCACCGGCGTCCCTCGCAGCCACCGCCGAAGTATTCAGCCCATGTCGGGTAGTCATAGCTGAATGGCGTATGGGAATAGCAAAAAACATCTACAACAAAACATGTGGAGAAATAAGATTGAGGAACGACAAGGCTCTTTTGAAACACCACTTCATTTGAAATGAGGCAACTGATACTCTTACTTTATTTACAATGTAAGCCATGCGTTTTTTTAAGATCAAAGCCTTATATCACACAGTCGTACGGATCGGAGCATCTCGCATCATAGATGCGAAAATAAATTGTACCAAATCTTGCAATGTATATATATTCTAATAACGCGACAAAACCCGTTCCTGGTCCGCCTTGCTTGCTTGTTTGTGCCTATGATTTGGCTAGCAGTGGCTACATAATGCCGGTGTCACACGGGCTGTTTTAATTGCGATCAGGGTGATCCGAATCTGTTTTCTTTATTGCAATACACTTTTTCACCACTGTGCTACATGGCCCAAGTTAACCCGGTTCGAGCTTGGGTCAGATGAAATGCTCAGGTGGCATTTGCGTGCCGTAAAATTTGCCACTGACTAAATTCGGTGTATGGCATATTTTTAGAACCTTTTATCAGCCATGCTATTTGTACAGTAACCGCTCGAACGTCAAAAACCTTGCATGTTACTACATTAGTGATTTCATAAATCAATCACTCGAAAAACTTTTCTATCACTTACCTGTACTACTGTGTGAGATTCTTAAACTTCGCTTTTATTTCTGATGGCCTCCGCTCATAGCCGTGTAGTCGCAGCGAAGCGTCAATATCTTTGTACGCGCCAGTGTTTTACTTCTGGCGCCTCAAGTCTGTTCCACTCACTCCTGCCAGCGGTCAATTACTGTAAAAGTCTCTTCATTCGACCACAAAGTGCGCGTAGGTTGCGACGTAGTTGAAAGGCTTACGACACTCATAATCAGTTTGCTTCAAGGTGCTCCAACAGCTCCGACATGGCGAGAGCTGAACTAAGCGCTAAAGCCGGTCGACGGCTTGTCGTCAGCTTGTTGTCTGCTTCTCCCGTAACTACTTGCGGTCGATACAAATCCTAAAATATACAATACCTCAGATATTGTTCCAGTTTAGACAGTTTAGAATTTGCTTTTTTTGTAAGCATCTAGCTGCTTTGAGGTGTTTCTATTGAACTATGCTTTATTTTCTTGTTTATTGTGCTTTAAACAAGCTCGGCTAGGGGGTGCAGACGACAGCAAAATCATGATCCCTCTGGTAGATCACGATGCGTAGATCGCGATAGTCCTGATCCTAATTATGTATGATGGTGAACAAAAGTGACCGTGTAGCAGCACCTAATCCGGATCCTGGTTAATCTGGATCAGCACTGATCGCGATTAAAAGTGCCCGTGTGACATCGGTATAAGATTACGCGCAAACACCGCTTTGGAGGCCGCATGTCGCTGGAGGCGATACGTTAGAGGCACATATACACTTAGAATAGATTGCATGTTGAAGCGACACATGGTCGGAATTTCCGTAGTCCTCTATTTCTGCGTCTTTTGTAATCATATCTTAGTTTTGGAACGTAAAACTCACTGTTATTATTCATAGCATGCTCCGTATGCGCATATATTCTTGCGATTTTATCAGATTACCTGAGTAGCATTGATAAAGCTGCAAGACACGATCATTAAATTATCATCATAAGACGCGTTATGCCATTGCCCAGGTTGCCCAAGGCCGGCGAAGTTTACTTCAGCTATCAAAGTGCAGTGTGATTTCTTGTACTTTGAGTTACTTAGTTTTCTGGATACAAATTGGCCCTGTGAAGATTATAATCTTTATCAGAGTGACTGCCGCTTTCCTCATAGTAACCACAACATGACAATACAATTGGCCTTAGGCGTTTCTGCGGTCTACACGGTCTCTCTAAAAAAATTGATTTCACTTTAGAAAGTACACAGCCAACGAATCTTTCATGCCAGCAGATAAGTTATAAAAAGTAGTAGCAGCTTTATGAGCTCTATACATAAACACAAAATGGGCAAAAAATGCGGCTACCAGCATGGTCGCTGCGGTGCACCCATGATTCGGTATTGCAAAACAGTGTTTTATTAACAGCGTCTTTTACTGACGGTTCTTTGTTAACTTGTATTAGTGCCATCGGGTGAAGGACTTTTATTGGAGCTCATGTTGTTCGATGGCAAACCTCTAGCCAGTCGGCTAGCTCAGCAGAGGTTTCAATCAGTTGCAGAAATAACAAGCAGGAATCTTTGTCAGTGAGGTGTCTACAGAGCTGTCTTGTTAAGCAGCTAAAATAAATCGCACTAACTTCTGTGGAATTCTGCAAATTCTCATTAACCAAGAAGGACCAAACTTTTGATGTACGAAGGAACATTTCACAACAGTGCAACTGGCTACATTCAATAAAACATTCGAGCAGACCTTTTTTTTTTTCGTAGGCCTTCGCTGTGTTCCTGAACCTGTGCCGTGTTCCTGAAGTCAGGAACGCTAGAAATACTCTTCGGCTCTGTGGCTGCCAGTGATGGATATTGACAGCCCACTTCACTTGAAGAGTTCACTAGTGCCCATGTCTTCTTGAACCTAGCTTGATATACTTATGTGGAACAGCGCCATGGGTTGCAGAAAAATATACACACAGGTGCTCCTGCTTTTCAATGCCATGGTAGCGTGCTGTGACAGGTAGGTTGCTATAAATGTAGCCAATTTTCCAAGAGTTGCTCACAGATGAGGCACAGTTAGCCCAAACTGCGCAACTTGTCTGTTGACAATCAAATAGTAATGGTGATCCTGTTTTTATTAGAAGTGTTTCAAATGTGCCAAGCTTCTTTCGGACGGGGGAGGGGGGAATTTGACGCCGAATATCAAGCTTTTCAATGATATCTAAGTACCCTATTAAAAACAAACATAACACCCACCGCGTCAGCTGGCAAAGTGTCAAAACTGTGTATTCGTGCCACCGTACGGAACCTGCGCAGTCGGTTATGGCCCTGAAATCTTTATTGTGCCCTGCAACCACGACACGTTATGAGCTGCTCGTTTCGCACTCATGCAAAACGTCATGATGTTTTCATGTGCGCAATGTTACGTGGCTCTCTTGGTGAGCCACGGGCGGCTATATTAAGTGTTCCGGTACCTGAGGGCATCACAAATATTCAAAACGTTGGGGAGGCAGCGGAATTTGAATGCAGCAGAACCGCTACACCGGGTACGTTGGCCGCAACATCAATTGACTGCCCGCAGTAGAGTGCGCCTGCGAGACCGAACATTATCAGGCTCTTCACGTGCGCTCACTGTCAACAACTGAATATTTTCACACCAAGCACGGTATCAAGACACGTGACAGAAAGAGTGCTCAAAACGTTCAATTTGTGCTATGCGCGAGCAAATGAGTGAGTGGGATCATTGTTCCGAAAAAGTATTACGCTGTCTGTACCACATGTCGTAGTGAAGTAAAAACTTAAAGCAGCCTTTTCTGCACCTAGCTAGATAGTATCATTATTAGGAACGGCGCATGCTTTGAACACTTTTTATGGGTGATTGAAACGAAGTGAAAAAGTGGTACACATCTGTACCATCGTACTACACAGGGTAAAAAGACAGGAAGTGCGAACGCGGATAGAGCAGACAAGTGCAAAGAATGCACCGTTATCTCTCGCGCAGATTACGCCACTCGCCTGATTGTCAGATATCGCGTGTTGCCACAGCTACTCTCCTGATGGGCTTCGAAATACCCTCCGGTATGCCCTTAGATATAACAGTATCAGTATAGTCAAAACTGCTAGGCATTGTTTCTGCATGGTTTTATCTTTGCCTTTGTGAGTAGGCGCAATACCCGTATCAAATAAATAGGTCTGCTTGCACTCAGTAAGCTTTGTGTAAGCTTCAGCTTATCCGCACGATCTGTCTACTACAATGGCACGAGCTTCCCGCCGTTAGCATCGCTCACCTTCTTTTATATCTAAAATTTGAAGCTACTTATCTTCTCCAGGCTGTTTAAATGACCACCAATGTGGGCGCCTTGGCAAAGACAGCATCTTTCGTTAACAGAGCAACATGTTTTCATGTCATGGGGTTCTCCACACATGTGGCATCGCGAAGACGATTGGCATCTTTTTTCATGATATTGCCACGTTCCATTTCCCAAGTTTTGGTTATCGTCCCAAAACACCACACGATTCTCAGCGCAAACCGCGCCTGCAGTTTTCTAGAGGGTTCCGGACTGTAGTAGATCATTTCGATAAGATCACGCCCACTGTGCGAATGGTACAGATTGTTCTGGAACGCACGCCGCCGCCAGCGATAGCGCTAGAACATTCGACGGCGGGAGTATAAATGCCGACGCGCTTCGCCGCTTGTCAGTTGTTGATCGAAGGCCGACGCTCCGTTCGCCGCTATCAGTCTGAGACTGCTATCTGTGCGAGACTGCTGCTGTAATTGGACTTTCTGTTTACCGGGCACAGGTTCGCCCAAATAAACAGTTAAATTCCAACAAGAAGTCTCCTGTCTTCAGCCACGTCACGACCCCGTGACATTTGGTGGAGGTGCTGCTTCGTTCATGTACCGGACGCCCCCGTCAAGCCGTGAACCCAGCCCACGTCGCGGAGAAGACACCGACGCCAACCAGGAGCAGCGAACAAGCCGCCGACAGCAAGGGCTACCACCGGAGTACGGGCTTCTACACGACAAGCCGCGGAAGACCAAGGCCATGACCGCGACTGCAGCGACAATGACAACCGCAGCGTCCCAGCCCACGATGGTCATGCATCAACCCAGGGAACCACCAATTTTCCATGGGTCATCGTTCGAAGACCCGGAGTCCTGGCTAGAGACATACGACCGTGTGGCCGCCCTCAACCACTGGGACCATGACGAAAAGCTGCGTCGTGTGTTCTTCTATTTAGAAGACACCGCAAGGACCTGGCTCGAAAATCGGGAGTCCACGCTCCGAACGTGGGATGTTTTCTGCGGCGCATTCCTGCAAACGTTCGCGAGCGTCGCTCGAAAAGAGAGGGCCGCTGCTTTATTAGAGACCCGGGTTCAGCTACCAAATGAAAATGTCGCCATTTTCACAGAAGAAATGACCCGACTATTCCGTCACGCTGACCCAGACATGCCTGAGGAGAAAAAAGTTCGTTTCCTCATGCGAGGGGTCAAACAGGAGCTCTTCGCGGGGCTGATGAGAAACCCACCGAAAACCGTCCAAGAATTTGTAGCCGAAGCGACCACTATTGAAAAGACCCTGGACATGCGCACCAGACAGTATAATCGTCGCCTGACTGCAGACTGCGCTGCTGCTCAAGCCAGTAACTCCGGAGACCTGCGTGAAACGATCCGAGCGATCGTGCGGGAAGAGCTGCGCAAGCTGTTGCCTTCGGCGCAGCCTCAAGTGGATTCGATCGCCGACATTGTGCGAGAAGAAGTTCGGCAATCGCTTCAAATTCCCCACGCACCGCTGCCCGAGCCGGAAGCTATGAGCTACGCCGCTGCACTGCGCTGCACTTCAAGAATATGACATTACTGTCATTTACAAGTCCGGCAAAAAACACTCCGACGCCGACTGTCTCTCTCGTGCGCCTGTCGAGCAACCGCCACCCGACGACCCGGATGACGACTACTTCTTGGGAACGATAACTACCGACGACTTCGCTGAACGACAGCGGGCCGACCCGGAACTTAAGGCCCTAATAGAATACCTCGAAGGCAGGACCGCCGAAGTCCCGAAGGTATTCAAGCGCGCACTTGCGTCGTTTTTTCTACGAAACGGTCTTCTACAAAAGAAAAACTTTTCACCGCTTCGGGCTAAGTATCTCCTTGTGGTGCCTTCAGCTCTGCGACCAGAACTCCTGCAGGCCCTGCACGACGATCCGACGGCAGGGCACCTCGGTGTTTCTCGCACGCTCGCGAGGATACAAGAAAGGTACTACTGGCCGCGTCTTACAACCGACGTCACTCGTTATGTGAGAACATGCCGGGACTGTCAGCGACGCAAGACACCGCCGACAAGGCCAGCGGGACTTCTGCAGCCAATTGATTCACCTTGCCGACCTTTTCAGCAGATTGGTATGGACCTATTGGGGACGTTCCCGACATCGGCTTTCGGAAACAAGTGGATCGTGGTAGCCACCGACTACCTCACCCGCTACGCCAAGACAAAAGCCCTGCCAAAAGGCAGTGCATCCGAGGTAGCTAAGTTCTTCGTCGAAAATATCGTCCTACGTCACGGCGCCCTGGAGGTCCTTATCACCGACAGAGGAACGGCATTCACTGCCGACTTAACTCAAGCGATCTTGGCATACAGCCAAACAAATCACCGCCGGACGACAGTGTACCACCCACAGACCAACGGCCTCACCGAGCGGCTTAACAAGACGATCGCCGACATGCTGTAAATGTACGTCGATGTCGAACACAAGACGTGGGATGCCATTCTTCCGTATGTGACCTTCGCATACAACACGGCGGTGCAGGAGACGACGCAGATATCTCCATACAAATTGGTCTACGGAAGGAGCCCGGCAACGACGCTCGATGCCATGTTACCCAACGTCACCGACGAAGAAAACCTCGATGTGAGCGAGTACCTTCATCGCGCCGAAGAGGCCCGACAACTTGCGCGGCTCCGTATCAGGAATCAACAGACGACCGACAGCCACCGTTACAACCTTCGACGACGCTTCGTGGAATACCAGCCCGGTGAACGTGTTTGGGTGTGGACGCCGATACGCCGACGTGGACTAAGTGAAAAGCTTCTGCGACGGTACTTCGGACCGTACAGGGTGGTTCGACGTCTCGGCCCACTTGATTACGAGGTTGTCCCCGACGGCATCACGAACTCTCAACGACGCCGATCGCGACCTGACGTCGTCCATGTCGCACGCCTCAAGCCGTTTCATGCGCGTTAACAAACTGAAACAGTGTTTTTTTTGTATTATTGTTGTATCGTAATTTATTCATTGTACTTTCTTGCATTATTATTGTACCTTCATCTTTAGTTAAAGCATCGAGACGATGCCTTTTTCAGAGGGGGGCAATGCCACGTTCCATTTCCCAAGTTTTGGTTATCGTTCCAAAACACCACACGATTCTCAGCGCAAACCGCGCCTGCAGGTTTCGAGAAGGTTCCGGACTGTAGTAGATCATTTCGATAAGATCACGCCCACTGTGCGAATGGTACAGATTGTTCTGGAACGCACGCCGCCGCCAGCGATAGCGCTAGAACATTCGACGGCGGGAGTATAAATGCCGACGCGCTTCGCCGCTTGTCAGTTGTTGATCGAAGGCCGACGCTCCGTTCGCCGCTATCAGTCTGAGACTGCTATCTGTGCGAGACTGCTGCTGTAATTGGACTTTCTGTTTACCGGGCACAGGTTCGCCCAAATAAACAGTTAAATTCCAACAAGAAGTCTCCTGTCTTCAGCCACTTCATGACCCCGTGACAATATGGTCATGTTTCAAGTACTGAATAGATCGAATTAGGCGGGGAGCGAGAGCCTCAACTCTTTAGACTAAGGGCCATATACCATAATCTCTGTTGGCCTATTTACGCCCGAAAATGTCACAATGACCGATTTTGTGAGGACTCTCTTATTCAGGTATCAAGCTCTTCTCATTTGACACCTCTTAGTGTCAAATGAGGAGAGCTCATTTTTTTCCTTTGTGTCTCACGGGAGGCACGCAGCTGCTGTTGCATGGCTCAGGTAGGCACGTGTTACTCGTCCTATTTCTGATATTTTTTTGGCAAGTACGCCGCCACAATAGGGAGGGTGTAGAAATTGGTCAGAGTGTGTCAATGTAAAAAAATTGTTAAGGTGTGAACTTGTGCACTGGTAATGCACATAGCGCCGGTCACTGTCACCGGCCGCCAGTAATTGCATCCTCAGCGGAACGATTCAACTTTTATACATGATTGATCCAACCTTCCAGTGTTATGACTAGTTCTCGCGTAAGCTTCTGGATACAGACTTGCCTATTCGTGTCCTACGCGTAACCTTCCCCCTCTGCGTTGACCGCTGTTGGGAGGGGTCAGCACAGGAAGGGGTTCAGAGTTGAACGCAGTAGCGTTATTTTGTTTCTGTAAAACGTACTTCAACCACTTTGTGAACACCTTTTATTGTATGCTGTACTCGACAAGTTTAAATTTTGGATTACAACAATGTAATCAATAAAGTTAGAAGTGCCCAGTGTCAGTCAAGCTCAGACGAGCATATAGGCGTGCTGAATATTTTGCATATTACTATGCACCCTTTACGTGGTCCTAAGGGACTATGTACAGTAACGTGTGTGGCTTTTGTAATGGGTGGCTAGATTTAACCACGAATTCATTCTGATAAACACATGTTGACGCCCTATGGCAATGTACGCTTAAACCATGCACTATTGCTGCTATATTTCATGCTGTATTGTGAAGTGTGTATACAGGAAGCTTGTGTTTGTAAAAATGAAAGTTGGTATAACTGCATTTCCAAGCAGAGGAAGGTATTTTCACTGAATCCACAAGAAGACGCATGGCTGTAAATGGGACTGATAACATTGTTCTTTTTTGTGATTGTATTTGTAAGGGGAGTGTGGAATAATTGCGCTGCTAATATCTAATCCAAGCAATAAATTGAAAAAACAAGGCGCGCAGCTGTGTGGTAGAGCAGCCGCGTGCAACGCTAACGACCAAGGTTCAATCCCCACTTGGAGCTAAACGACCCGGGTTGGATCCCCGCTCTCATCCAGAATTTTTAGTATTTGTTTATTGGCACCGTTCTTTATTTTTCGGTCAAAGGTGCTTTTTCACTTTCAACCAACGATGCCTACACCGACACCGGAATGCACGTGAAACGAGCTCTTTAACGATAAGGCGTTAATGTGGGCGAGTGAGAGTAGGTAACATAGCCCTGTATTGCATAACAACTCTGGTAGAGTCAGTTATTCTCTTGTTGTGCACTTACCTCCAGCAGGATCGTAAGGGGTGACGGCATACATCTCGTACAGTGCTTCGGCTGTCGTCGGCTTCAGCGTAGACGCCACCAAGAGAGCGAAAAAGAGCCCACCAGTAGCGGGCAAACGTCGCACAATAATCCGAACCATTTGTAGCGACTTTTGGTATCTCACGACTGCCTGCGTCAGGCACTTTCAGCGAAACGTAGATGCAGCGGCGCAGCGGACAGCCTGTATTCGCTCGCGTGAAAAGGGGACCACACTGCGTATGACTCGCAGCTGCTGCTACATCCCGCTGACCACGTTCATAAATACAGCATTCATATAAACGCGAGATTCTGGAATTCCAAGGTGATGGCTCCTTCAAAGAGGGTGAACAGCGTGCACGTATAGATATACTAACACAGTTTACGGCCCATTCTATTCATCCATTGAATGAGCGGCGATCGCTCGTGTTTAGGATGCAGAGATTACGCGTGCAGATGCATGCACGATCTTTTTTGAAATATAAATGCTATACCATGAAGAAGAAAAGATCAACCAGATGCGCCTTCTTCTGAGAAAAACTAAATCCACTTGGTAGACGAAGAAAGTGCTTAACAGCGCAAACGACAGAAAGAGATCGAAGAGACGAGAACAGAGCGCTGAACTAACAACCAAAGTTTGTTGCAATCCAACTGCAATTCATATAGGAAAACAAAATCTGTGCATAACCACGCAACATCAGCAAAATCGGACATACATGTGACGAACGGCCTACCTTATCAAGAGCCAGTCATATCAGGGGACCCTAGATAACGATATTCACAGCCATGAAGAAAACTCGAAGGTACGCTACCACAGGAAGCACCAAACTGTTGAATATGGAAGGCTTCGCTAATCTCGCGCTCGCGCTGATTTTTATGGCGCCCCATAATCACATACTTGTCAAAAATTGGCTGGCAGCCACACTTTTTACGTGTAACTGCCAAGAGACACATCAGACAAGCACAGTTAGAGTGTTCCGCTATGTTGACGACATTTTAGTGTTTAACCCCATCGACCAATTTGATCCTCCACGAACCACCGGTGAGATTTTTGACGTATTTCGGCATGAAATGTAGCAACTTGAATTAACGTTGGAGCTTATTTTTCATGAGAAGCTACGATTTCTAGACTTGGAAATGCTTTTTTTGGTGGACCATGTCTGTTGGCGGTACGAGCCACGCTAAAAAAAAAGCCTTGCTTCTTTTACGTCCACCCATTCTAAGCTAGTCAACCATGGCATTGATTTTTCTTCCCTAAAAGCAGCTCTAACTCGCTCTTGTCATCACCAGGTAGAATGTAGTTTTTTCAAACCAAGTTCTTCGCCTTCAACAAGCAGGTTTTTCTAATACCCTGCTAACTTGCATCGCCGAGACTCTCTTTACGTCACTAAGAGTGCTTGATACGGGGCAAAGCAACAGCCTACTCCACAAACCACATTCCAGCACGACTGTTGTACACGAGGTTTCCCATGTGCTAAAGAAGGTCGCTTGAAAAATAGGTGTACGAGATGTGTTCTGCGCATGCGACAAGCTCGCTAGGCCATGTCACAGAGTTAATAGTGAAGGATGGAACAAAGAAGCATGTACTTAGAAACACGCTACGTGCTATGTTGAATGTGTTTTAGATTTGTGGGGTTTAACGTCCCAAAACCACCGTATGATTATGAGAGACGCCGTAGTGGAGGGCTCCGGAAATTTCGACCACCTGGGGTTCTTTAACGTGCACCCAAATCTGAGTACACGGGCCTACAACATTTCCGCCTCCATCGGAAATGCAGCCGCCGCAGCCGAGATTTGAACCCGTGACCTGCGGGTCAGCAGCCGAGTACCTTAGCCACTAGACCACCGCGGCGGGGCATGTTGAATGTGTTTTATCGATTGTATAAAAGATATTGTTTACATGCGGGCTGTGTTACATTGGCACCCCGCCGCGGTGGTTTAGTGGCTAAGGTACTCGGCCGCTGACCCGCAGGTCGCGGGTTCGAATCCCCGCTGCGGTGGCTGCATTTCCGATGGAGGCGGAATTGTTGTAAGCTCGTGTGCTCAGATTTTAGTGCGCGTTAAAGAACCCCAGGTGGTCGAAATTTCCGGAGCCCTCCACTGTGGCGTCTTTCATAATCATATGCTGGTTTTGGGACGCTAAACCCCACATATCAAATGTGTTACATCGGCCAAACAGGCCGATGCATTAATGATCGCCTGAGGGAACACGCTTACTCTCTAAAAGCCTCCATTCCCAGTTACTTGGCGGACCATTGTAAAAAAGTGTCTGCCCGCCAGTTTTTGACGCGTGATTTTGGCGTGATATAAAAATCAGTGTGAGTGCGAGATTAGCGAAGCCTTCCCCATTCAACAATTTGGTGCTTCCTGCGTTAGCGTAACTTCGATTTTTTTTTCACGGCTGTGAATTTCGTTTTCTAGGGTCCTCTGATATGACTGGCTTTTGATAAGGTAGACTGTCCGGGACATGCATGTCCGATTTTGCTGATGTTGCGTGGTTATGCGCAGATTCTGTTTGCCTATATATTGCAGTTAGATTGCAATAAACTTTTGCTGTTAGTTCACCGCTCTGTTCTAGTCTCTTCTATCCTCTAGTGTCTTTTGCGCTGTTAAGCACTTTCTTCGTGTACCATGCAGCACCAACCAGCCCATTCAAGCACCTTGTTCAATCCAATTCCTGCATTATGCTTATGGCGAATGGCTAACCCACGTTTGCCGCCTCGGTGTTTCACGCTTTCGCGTGACATGGCATCATGTGACGGAAAGCCAGGTGCAGGGAACTTTATCCAGGTCCTGAGGAACGTTACCGCTCAAGCTGGTAGAGCACGCACACGCACACGTCAGCCGATCTACGTATAAGAACAAGTTTGCCTTGAAGGAGCCTTGCAACACCTTTGTAGCATGGTCAGAAAATGGTGCTCAGCGGTTGTCAAGGTTCCCGAAAAAAGGCGAGCCAAGAATTGTATAGCACCACGAGGCCAAAAATTCAAAATCAATTCTCAAAGTCAGTCTCAAATCGCTTTCTCTTTTCACAAGAAAAGATGACACCAGCTCAAAAACCACTCATTATAGACCCTTTCACTGTTTACAAACACAGACCTTTGATGACATCCGGTTTTTTTCACCGATGTGCCTTAAAAGCACCGGTGTAAACAAAGCCGCGGCTTCTCCGCCTTTGCGCACGCAATCGCAACTAAACGCTGCGTATTCCAAAAAAAGCAATATGAAAAGTGCTCAAGGTCAAGAGGCACATGCGGGGTGTTTTAGAAACATTGGTGTTTTTTGGGGATGCTTCGGCACAAAATTTTAGTTGGTCTGTCTGTCAGTCGACTTGCCGATGTTGGTTGAAATCAAACCACATCCGCAGCGCTCACCAATATTGCTCTGGTTTCAGCGCTCCTAACTGTGCGTATTGTCGATTAAAAGAAAATATTGCGCGTATGTGAAGGACAACCTCAACATATCAATAGGGAGCTTTAGAATACCGTTTGCAAGCGATGCAGATGAAGCGGGCGCCATAAAAGATTTGGAATAGCGTTTGCCCTGCTGCGAACCGCAACGCATGATCGCAGCGACACCGTAGCCTCGAAACCAACGCTTGCGGGCCACATGCGGGCCGCCATCACCACACGCAATTTCGGATTTTTTGCGTGCGGTCCGCGAACGCATAAACGGTCCACGAACTCATGTTACGACGCATGCACTGTGGCAGCCACCGCACCGCAAGGGCTCGCGGTGCGCTATTCTAAGCTCCCTAATATCTGTGGCGTGTTTCTTTATACCTTCACGAGGTCGTGACGTGAACGAAGGGAGCAGACTCGAAGTCGAAGCAGAAACTGTTGATTCTGGCAGAACTTGTGGCCACGCGAAAAGGTACATGAGACACCGGCACTGAAAACGGCGAACAGAGCGTCGGCTGTCGACCAACTGACAAGCGGCGAGGCGTGTCGACATTTATACACTTCCCATCGAATATTCTCGTGTTATCACTAGCGGCAACGTAAGTTCCATAATAATCTTTGCTGTTCACGAAGTGAGCGCCATCTTAACAAAATGATCTATTGCCATCCTGAAGCTTCTCGAACTGTGTCGCCGTGGTTTGAGCTTAGAGTTACACACAGTAAAACGGAGTGATAACAAAACATGAGCAGAAAGTGTGGCAATGTCCCCCAATGAAAAATGCTTTGTCCCGACGCTTTACCAAAAGAACAAAGTACAATAATAAAGAAAATAAAAAATAAGTAGAAACAATAGCGCAAAGCAACAATATCAAAAACATTGGCAGATTCCCCCTACAGTGGGAATGGGTGATATGTGAAGCATGATTTACAAAGGTTGATATGAAAGGTCATTTTATAAACCGCACAATGTTACCAGGTGGAAGTAAATGATTCCGTACTTGACTTCTATGACATGAATATCATGTTCGGGTGTGTTGTTTACCTTCGTCATGTATTCAAGTCACGTGATACCAAATCAAGTATACGTAGAGCATCGAAATGGCCGCGAGCACGCTATGAGCGTGGTACGTTGTCATGTTCTTACATAACACGCGTGTTAGGATTATCATGTTTGCACCAGTCATATATTTCGTCATCCATTGACGTCACATAACACCAAACTTGGTATATGTGGAGCTAGCAAAACGGCCGCGATTGCATCACGAAGGGCCCAATGTACTTCACTGTGGCGTGGACGTGCGTGCACGCTGGGCACAGTGGCGCTACGTTAGCAAAACGTGAGCGCTCTATAGTCTGACGCCAGTCGTGACCAGCGTCCGTCAGCGCGGCCCGGCGGCAACCTTCGCGAAATGGGACATGCTGCATTTCACGCTGATGCGTTACCCACACTACAATGCATCTCCCTCTTTTTGTGGCGGAGGGACGCCGGACACGCTGTCACGCGCATGCGTCAAAGCAACGCAGCGCGGCGCGTGCCTGCGAGTATATCGCGAGGTCGGCGCCTGGCGTGGCAACGCTGTGGTGACGCGACGAAATGAACGCCGGCGAGCACACGCACCGCGTCACGTCGAAATGTATTGGTACCTTGCCTGTGGTATGTAGTGATGTTCCAGCATGGCACGCACCTTATGATCTTCACGTTTGCACCAGTCACATACCTTCATCATTCATTGACGTCAAGTAATACCAAGTTTGGCAT